TTTAATTCTCCGGTTTGACCATGACCTGAGGTATGCAGGATGAACAGACAACAGCCCCTTAGCCAGAGACACGGTGTGTCCCATCAGCACACCATGACCATGACTAGGTACAGCACTTCCATGTCAATTAAAAATAAACAGAACAGAACTCTGCAGCGTTAACTTTGAAAGTAGATGGCGGGTGAGTCATAGACTCCCAGCCCGGGAAGCCAGGACTGGGCTCCAAGAGGGATACCAGCTGCTTCACCAGCAGTGGGTTCCAGGGAGCCAGCGTGGCTCCAGTTCCCTTGCGGCTTCCTTCAGGCTTTCGGGGGGGGGGACTATCTGCACCTTGAGTGGGAGGTCAGCTGCAACACCTCCATGCTAGTGAGTCTGTCACACACGGGATTCCACGGTGTCTCCATGCACACGGGCTGAGCGTGTTTGCTGTGGGACATTCAAGGCCCTTGTGGGGCGAGGAGGAGGTCACTCCAAGTTCTGGCTAAATCTTTGTCCTTTCATAGCTACAAGGTTGTGAGTGCGGACAGCTATGCTGTCCTTCCACTTGCTTCGGAGAGGAGGTGCCCGGGCCTCTAAGCTTCGAGGTTGTCGAACACCTGGCACCTGTGCTTTGACAGTTTCAGGGATGCAGTGAAAATTCGGAGGACACAGATGTTCCGAGCTGCTTCCTTCCCCTTGGCATTTCCCCTACAAAGTCTCTGTGCACGAGCATGGGGGGGGGGGTTGCCCAGAAGCCCCTCATTGGACTTCACCTTCATTAATTCCATCAATATAAAAATCAAACACCGTGATTTTTACAACTGTTTATTTTCCCAAGCTCCAAACAGCCATTGCCCCACGCAGCCTGTGCTTGTGAAGCCATACTAGCGGATCTGGCTTGGCTCACAATTATTAAGACTTCAAAGAAGCGGGAAGGATGATACCTTAGTCAACTTGGGCTCCCGTAACAAAAATCCCCGAAGTCTGGGCAACCAAGACATGCATCTCATAGTTTTGGAGACTGGGTTTGATATGGAGGCATTGTTTGATGGATGGTGCGTGCCGCTCATGGATGGTATTTATCTGTGTTCTTATATGATGGGAGGGACACAAGAGCCTGTTGGGGTTCCCTTCATGCAAGGGGATCCTGTTCATGAGATTCACCCCTAGAATCTAGTCACCTCCAAAGGCGTCTGTCATTGGCAGCCAGAGCTCTCCGGGCCGCTCTGAAGCAGCCTGAGACTCTTGACCGCACCCCAGAAAAGAATTTCAGGACAAATCAGTAGGACTCACAATTGGAGTTTATTAAGAAAATATCATTTGTGTGTGTGTGGTGTGTGTGTGTGTGTGTTTCGAGACAGGGTTTCTCTGTAGCCTTGAAGCCTATCCTAGAACCTGACTAGCCTTGAACTCTGCCTCCCAAGTGCTGAGATTAAGGGCGTGTGTCACCACTGCCTGGCAAGAAAATACCTTTTAAAAATAATTTAATGATGTGTATATGTGTGTACATGAGTGCAAATATCAGAGGCCAGCTGGTAAGTGCTGGGAGCTGAACGTGTGTCTTCTGCAAGAGCAGCAGGTGTTCTCCATTGCTAAGCCATCTCTCCAACCCTAAGAAAAGGTTGATAATACAGATTTAAGTAGGGGCTGAGAGAGGGGGAATTAAGAAAGGGCTATCTGTACATAACCAAGCGTGGGTGCCTGATAAACATCTGGGGCTTTGGTCAGCTGTTTTACGGTAGTCTTTAATGGAAGGGAGATTATTCATGAGTTAAGGTGGGGAATTCCAGGAATGGGTCTGAATTTTTCCAGGCTAGGGTTACTCCCCTCTTCTGTCCTCACGTGGGGTTGTTAGATGTGGCACGGTGTCAGATGCATGATGGGAACAGGCGATTCTGCAAGGCTTATGAGCGGTAGGATGAAGCAAAGGACGGTCTACCTCTCCTGGTTGGCTGGGTCATTTCCAGCTTGTCTGTGGTGGTCTTGTATCTACTGTTGGAATGGTCACATGGTGTTTTGTGTGCTGCAGCTCTGCGGGTGATCACATGAGCCTCCAGTCACCAGCAGTTGGCCCTGCCTCAGTCCTCCCATCCCATCCCACTGAGACCAGGCTTCCGCATGTGAACTGGGGAGTCCACAGCAGATACCAAAGGGTGAGACTCTTTACCAGAGTTTTCACAGCCAGCTCTCCTCCTTGCTAGGATCTCAGGGCTTCAGAGGGGCCCTGAAGTTGGATTTTTCTGGTAGAACTGGCATTAAGTCTCCCTGTGTGCCCTCATGGGAGTGACAGGGGCAATTGGGACTGATGGCCATCTTCCCCTGTCTTTGCATTCTTCAAGAGAAGGGAGCAAGCATGGTCCTGCTGGGAGGTAGTTTGGAGGGGAGGGGAAGATCCCCAATTCCAGTACTGAGAGGCAGTTGTCTCTCCTTGTGGCTCCTTGGGTGAGTGCGGTCAGTCCTGCTGTAGGCAGTACAGCTGGAAGCCAGGATGTGACTGGTCTCGAGGCTAAGCAGAATCTCTCTCTGGGGGCTGGAACCACAGGTGGGGGTGGGCTTGAGCATTTGTTTAACAGCAGCTGAGACAGGAGAGCATCTGAGGCCAGGATGATGGCCAGGGTGGGAACAGGAGGCAGGCATGAGGCTTAAGGACCTCAGAGAAAGGGAGGAGCCAGAGGAGAGGGTAGCCTTGGGAAGGATGGTTGGAGTCATGCTGGTCCAACTGGATCCCTGAGATGGTGCTCAAGAGGTTCATCTGGGGAGGGGACCCAGCAAGACAGGACCAAATCAGTGAGTGTCAAAACTGAATTATCTCTTTGGTCCAGGAGGAGGTGGTCTTATTCCCATCTCCATCCTCACCTCCTGCCTCTCCCAAGACAAGATGGGGCGTGTGAACCCTTTCTCTGGCACTTTGCAGAGGGAGGATGGGAACAAAGCCCCATCAGCTGAGAGTGTCATATTTGGTAGAATATGGGCACACATACAAAGACCTTCATTTAGCACACTCCTGAAAAGTTTCTGTACCCCGATAAGCCTCTCTGCCGACCAAATCAAACTGAATCAGAAAATGCCCAGGTTTACTGGATACAACACTCCTGGCTGGTTTTCCAGCCCCCCAAGAGAGGAGACAGGAAAACCACGTGTCTATTTTCTGGGGGGCAGTTTAAATACCCTGTGGGAGTGGTCTTGAGCATCTCTGGGGAAGGGGTCATCATTTGGCAAACTCTCTGAGATGCAGCAGGGTTTAGAGAGATGGAGGAGGGGCCTTGGGGTGAAGCTTCCACCTGAACAACTCCAGGCCTGCTCTTGGCCAGGGCTCAGGCCCAAAGGTCAGTCTGACCCATGTTCTCCTCTCTGAAGCTCACGGTCTTGGTGACAGAGTGTTGCGTATGATTTATAGTTTCCAGCATCTATCCTTTAGTGGAGGGAAATGAAATCCAGGCGTTGGGAGAATGTACAGGAAAACAACTGTGGAGGCAATGAGCCAGGGTTTCAAAGCTTCAATAGGAGTCTCCGAGGGCCTTGGTTCACTTTCTGTTACTATAATTGAATACTACGGATGAGATAATTTATTTAAAAAGAAAAGAACAACTTTATTCCCTGTGGCTCTAGAGTCTATGAAGTTCAGCAACACAACACTGGCACCTGGTGAGGGCTTTCTTGCTACATCACAATGTGGCAGAAGGACTCACGTGGGGGACAGAGTAAGCAGCCAGCTCAGTAGTGCCTCTTCTTCTAAGATCACTGATGGCATCCACCCTAATGCCCCACTGCCAGACACTGTCAACATGTAGCTTTGTCCCAATACACAGACTTCGGAGACTGCATTCAAATCATAGCATTCATCCAGGAAGGACACTGGATAGAGCAAACCATGTTTCCCAGCATGCACAGGTGTTTGGGTGGGACAGGATAGAATTGAGTATGTCTGCCTTGTAGGTGGGGCAGGGTGGGGAGGTGAGGGGACAGCCCCTTAGGAGGTCACAGACAAGGTAGCTCACGGTGCACCTGCTCTGGCAACCACTGTGGGGTTTCAATGATGAGGCAAGGTCTAGCAAAGGCTGCTGCCTCTGTGTGGAGAGGTCAGAGGCAGGAGACTACACACTGAGGTCTATGTGGAGGCCTAACATCATGGCAGACAAGCAAGGTCCTACTTAGGGAGAATAAAGACAGAAGATGTTGAATGTTACCAATTCCTTGTGAGTGCAGATGAGATGACTGGCAGGACTGGAGTGGGGAAAGACACCAGGTTCCATGGTACTTGGTGCCACAGAAGTGTCCTGTAACATGCAGGGGTGATGGCAGACAGCTGGGAGGAGGAGCCCAGGAGGACACGGGGCACTCTGCATACAACTCTGCCGCACTCACTTGAAACAGGGCCGCATACTACACCTGGACCTTGGTCAGCGGCCCCATCCATCCTCCTGTCTCAGCCTACCACAATGCTGGGGCTACAAGCCCATGTGCGAACAAGCCCGTTTTTGTATGTGCGTTTTGGGGATTCAGACTCAGGTCTTCGTGTGTAAGCCGCAAGCTCCACACTGACCCGTGTCTCCTGGTCTGGTTATTGTTTCAAACATCTGCTGGGGTGTGTTCAGACGTGAGAGCGCAAGACTGCCAGGGGTGGCTTTGTGTGTTTCCCTTCTCCAGGAAGTTAAGAATGTTGTATCCTGCAACTTCAATTAGACCAATAAATCAAAGGCTTTAAAATATCAGGAACCATAAGAGTGTCGTGAAACTTTAATGAAAGAAACATAAGCATGACTTTAAGCTTAATAGTGAGAATTGCTGGTTCCTGGCTTTTTTCCACTTTTTAAGTAGCTGATTGTGCTAGCAGAAGCGTCAGAGACACAATACAATAATCAGTATCTATAAAGTGTTTGGGGTCCTTGCCAGTCTGCCAGCTCCACGCAGGCTCGCAGGAGAACTGTCTCCGCAGCACTCAGCAGTGCCTGGAGTTTCTCCATTTTCCAAATCAAGGATTGAGAACTAATTCAAGAACGATTACAGTAACTTGTCGAGAGTATCAGAATTCACTTGAGAGCCCCTTGAAGCACAGGCCGGAACAACGCTTGGGCTCGACGACACTCAGGAAGATGCCCAGAGTTGCGATGATTGGGGATCGGAGACGTTAGTGGGTGTGGAAGTAGGGTCTCCCTCCTCACGTTCTGTAGCATGCAGATAATCGTAGCTGACTCGCTGCACCGCTGCGAGGATGAATTGGCTGGATACTGGCAACTTGCTTAAAACAATGCCAGCATCCGTTGAAGAGTGATGTGACCCTTTATTAGGAAGCCCAAACGGTTGCCATGGTAGCAGCCAGACCTGCAAAGTTGTGGTTATACTTGGGTCAGTCCCAGCCCTCCCTTGTTTCCCCAGATGAAATGCTGTTTCTTCATTTAACCATAGAGCGAGTGTCATGGGGGCACAAAAGCCTGGGATAAATCTAAAGGTGTCTCTGGAGGCATCAAATCTATTTTAAAGACATGTATGGGTTGTGAATGCTTCATCCAAAATGCTCAAGACCAGACTATTTCAGATTGCAGATTTTTCTTTTTTTCAGATATTTGCATTATATGATGAGATATCTCAGGGAAAAGACCAAGGTATACATATGATATTTATTTATGTTTTATGTACACCTGTATCCATAGCCTGGGATATTTCATAAGATGTTTTAAATGCCCTGCGTTTAATAGCTGCACATCATCAGAAGTTGGGGCTCTATTTTCCTTCTTTCCTTCCTTCCTTTTTTCTTTTCTTTTTTTTTTTTTTTAAAGATTTCCTATTTATTAATCTAGGTTTGTGTCTATGTGAGTGTATATGTCTGTGCTTGTGCGCAGAGGCCAGGCCAGGACGTTAAGTGCACTTCTCTGCCAAGCTCTGTCTTTTTCTTTGAGGCAAGGTCTCTCCCTGAACCTGGGACTCACAGTTTCTCTGCTAGGTTGAAAGCCAGCAAGTTTCAGCAATGCTCCTGTCTCTGCCCTCCTCTGAGGGCATGGGTGGCATGCATGAGTGGGACACTGACTTGTTTCCTGGATGCTGGGATCTGAGCTCTGGCCCTCAAGATTGCACAGCGAGCACCTGCAACCGCTGATCCATGTCTCCACCCCCAGGGATGGAGTCACCAGGAACTCAAAAACGCTTGAGTTTGGATCTTCTGGTGGGGAGTGCTCAAACTGTTGACTATTTCATGAGATAAAATTAACACGTTTTCAGAGACACAGACTAGAATAAAGTCCTACTTTTTTTTGATAAACAGCAATTTTGTCTTAATTTCTTAAGAAATTGCTAAATTTACAAGTTTGGATGGAAATTTAATACAGACTTGACACGATCAGATACGAATCAACATGACGTGTCTGGAAAGGAATCAGCGCCTCGTGCAGCAGTTTCCCCTTCAGCTCGCTTGCTGAACCCTGGTCTGTCCTGCTTCTGGACCCCCAGGGGGCTCAAGTACTTCCAAGACCCAGATAAAAATACAGTGTGTGACCCTGGGGTTTTTGACATTCTCCCCTCACTAGGAGTTCATGCTCCAACAGGATAACCTCAGGGCGCCTTGCCCCTTACCCAAGTTTCATTAGTTCATCATTCTGTTAAAAAGTTAGGAGTGCTGGGCGGTGATGGCACACGCCTTTAATCCCAGCTCTTGGGAGGCAGAGGCAGGTGGATTTCAGCGAGTTCAAGGCCAGCCTAGTCTACGAAGTGAGTTCCAGGACAGCTAGGACTGTTACACAGAGCCACAGTATACAGTGAGTTTGGACATGTCAACCATCTGTGGTATTATCAACACTGTCAGGATAATGAATGAGTTAGTCACCTATTCTTGTACCCTAACCCACTTGTTTTATGCTTAAAGCATTTAACATACCCGTCCAATTGCACAAATTTGGGTCATTGTCCCCCCCATCCCTACTTCCTTGCCCTCCCCTTTCCCTCCCCCCTCTGCAGTGTTGAGAGAGGCCTCAGTCTGTACCCCAGGTCACCCTCAAGTCCACTACAAAGCCCCGACTAGCCTTGAACAGCAACCATCCCCATTACAGCCTCCTGTGTGCTAGGACTGCCTGTGAACCAACACACTAGACTAAAACATAGGTTTCTTGTTGTCTGACTGTTTGCTGTTTTGTGGTGTGGGGTTGAACTTGGAACCTTAAAAATGTTAGTGTGTGTTTTGCAACTGAGCCACGTCCTCCGCACTGAGCTGGTTCAGTCATTAAGAGCGCTAGCTGTTCTAACACGAGACCCCAGTTTAGTTTCATTACCCATGTCATGCTCATAGCTGCCTGCATCTCCAGCTCCAGGGCATCCAATATCCTCTTCTGGCCTCAATAAGTACCTGCAAACATATACACATGCACATAAATTCACATACACACACACACATCTTACCTTGGGTAGGGCTTGAAGGAGGACCTCCTGAATTCCAAGTTGTATCCTTCTGGGACTTACTTGTTTTAGAATATGGGGGATAGTGCAGAGATATCAGTACTCAGGTATAGCCTCAGAAGTTCCAAACTGGCTGGATTTGTGTCTTCTTTTATGGGGGTGCCCCCATTGTATTATAAAGTGAATTAATGTCAATCCAGTACACAAATGGTGTGGTGGGCCTTAAATTAAATTTTTAAAATGCTTTTAATTTATTTTATACGTACACGTGTTTTGTCTGCATGTATGTCTGTTTACAACACACACATGCCTGGTGTCTGTCCATGGAAGCCAGAAGAGGGTGCCAGGTCCCCTGGTGGAGTTGCAGACAGTTGTGAGTCACCATGTGGGTGCTGGGAATCGAACCCAAGTCCTCTGGAAGAGCAGCCAGTGCTCCTAACTGTGAGCCTTCTATGCATCCCCACAGTGGGCATTTTAAGCAGTACATGGAATAAAGGAAGTATGTACAGACCCCAGTACCTGGCCGTGTGTGATGGGTGTGTGGCTTCAGCCAGGCCTGTACTCCCTGGCAGATGGAGGTTCAGGAATGGGAGCTGAGGTCAGAGTTACTGAGCCCCTGTTCTCCTCCAAGCCTCATCCTGTGAACCAGCACACACACACTCCTCCTGGGCCGTAATGTATGGTTGATGTATATTGGAAGGCAGCATTCCCCCTGGTTTCAGGGAAGGGCCTGGTGTGTACGAGTCTCTGGCCAGAAGACCATCATGTACTTCTCAGTGCAGAACCCACGGAAAGAGCTCAGCCTCAGAGGTCGCTGGGTCCCAGATGGCCAAGTTAAATGCTCTGGTGACCCACACTGCAAACCCACCCACCTCTCTGCAAGGTCTGTCTGCCCGCATTGCTGGCCTGCACCCCTGCCTATCGTGTGCTCACCCATTTATCCTATAGCTCTGCCCACTTTCCTGGCTCAGTCTACTACAGGGCTACTTAACCCACTCCTCCCACCTTCAGGCCCCACCCACTGCCATGCCCACCCAGCCACTCATCCTGCCTGGGTTTCTGCATACCCAATCCTCTGCTCCACCCCACAGGGACCTCCTCTCTCTCTAAACCACTTAGTCCTGTGATAGATTGCCTCTGGCAAGCCCGGTGCATCGATCCTGACTCTCAGGGATTTGATTACAGTGTTTTCGAACAAAGTCAAAAGTAGACCCCACGAGAGGGCTATGGTGAAGTAATTATGGTGTTTTTGGTGCTGTGTGCCAAGGCCCAGGACAAAGCAAGTAAGGACGTCAAGGGTAAAAGGTCAGAAGATGGAATTAGAAAAAAATGAAAAGGTGTTACTCAGGGATGCCTGGCGCGGACTGGCGCGGACTCCCCAGCTGACAGAGAGCTCTGAGCAAGGGAATAGTAGGAAGGAGCCATTTCACACTTAATCACAGTTTCCCACAAGGTACTTAAGGAATGAGGAGTGAACTGAACTTGGACAATTAGTGTAATTAAACATTCATGGTGCCTGCTGTCCATTTCCTGCCTGGGGATATCTTTGGAGCAGAAGCACAGCTTTCTTCTTGGAGGTGACTTCAAGAGCAGCGGGTAAGAAGGTGGTTTGCTGTGGGGCTGCACCTTTGAGCCCTGAGTTGGGACAGGACCCTGGTGGCAGCCATAGGCTGGCAGAAGACTGGGTGGTGCTGAGTTGGTTGTCATGGAGATGGGTTGGGATCTGGTGCTGCTGACCCATTCCCATATTGGTTCAGTTTCAAGCCACATGAATTTGAAACTCTGGGTGTCATCTGAAGGAGGGCAGGTACCAATCTGAGGGAGGGCAGATACCATCTGAGGGAGGGTGTTGAGTGTATGCCACTGTAGATGCTAAGGGATGGAGGCTAGCTGATTGATGGTGTCTGCCAGGCGTGGTTGGCTGGAACAAGTCTATAAGGCATCATCAGGTCCTGGACTTTACTGTTTCCCCCAAACAGTACCCAAGAGACAAGCAAAGGCTGTTCCCTGTGACTGAGGGTCTTCTGTCATGCCGTGCAGACTCCTTCCATTTCACACCCAGGCTGACTACTAGACCCCCAGAGAACGGAACGAAACAGAGGTGTGGTCCCGACCTGGGGCTGTGGTGAATGTGCCCTTTTCTCATAGGCTGGCCCAGAGGACAGGAGACCTGGCTGGTGTCTAGACAGGATGCCCAGTGAATAAATCGATACACCGCCTCTTTGGTCACCTGGCTGGCAGTCCACTTGAGTCCACTTGAAGTCGCTTTGATGTTCGTCTCTGATGGCAGCCTCACATTTGGGGCTCCTTCACACCACACAGGCCCCTTCAGGGTCCCAAACCCTCATCCTGTCCCTGAGTATTTATTCTGTGAGCGTATGCCTGTCCCCTGAGTGCCCACAGAAGCCTCAGGATCAACTTGCCCCCAAATGGCCTCCTTTTCCTCCCCAGGCACAGGGAAGGGCTCCCCAGGGTAGCCAGCCACACCCTGTATCCTCTCCCCCTGCTCCCCATAGAGATCTGTCTCTTAGCACTATGGGTACACGAGCTGGCTTCCTCCCCATACAATCAGGGCCAGGGCTGTTCTGAAGAACACCACATCCTTCACGTCTGCTGCCTGCTCAGAATCTATCTTCAGTCTCCCTCCATATCCTCAAGGCCTGCTTCCCACAGCGAGCCCATCCCTTCCTCCTCCACTGGTCACAGAGGTGCCCTAAGCACTTTTACTCTTTGGGGGTCTATGCTATGAATCCCCTTTTTACTCAGCCCACCTGGCCTGGGGAAGTTAGAGAACACCTCACCCCAGGGGGCTCCCAGTTTCTCTTCTGGGCTCTGAGAAAACCTTCTGGTGCCAAATTTGAGTGGCCACGGATCAGGAACAGTGGAGCTAGATTGCTGCAGTTTCCGTGGTCCAACAGGGAAGCAGTTTCATGGAGTTTTTGTAGTAACAGAACAAAGAAAGTTATAAATCAAAGCATTTTAAAACCACACTGGTGGAAACATGAAGCAGAGAGTGCAGCGGGCTGAGGAATCGCCACCATGGCATCCTTAGCGCTTCTGCTGGCAAATAGTGTTTCTTAGGTTAATGTATTCCAAAGGTTTTTTTATCTGTTTATCAGGACATCAGGTCTGACACAAAGGTTGGCAAGGAATGGCTCTCCAGAGAGCTAAAGGCAGCCAGGGAGAAGTTGTAATTAGGCTATCAAATCAGCAACGTTCCAAATTCTCCATAGTCGCTGACGTTCTATTAGTCAATCAATGCACGCCGACAGCGTCTTTCCAGGAATTCTCCCTCACATGGCTCCCTAACTCTATGGCCTCCAATATCTGAGAGCACACAGTCGGATCCACACTGAGCCACGGGTGTCTCTGTCCATCCGTCAGCAGCAGACGCCTCCGTCTCTCACATCCTGCTTTTACGCCCACGCTCAGAGGCAGGTCTAGGAAGTGGGTACCAGACCATCACCCTCCTAGGCCTCCAGAGCTGCCTCTGGTTGACCTGGTGGCTCCCCCAGCCCTGGCAGAGGAATCCCTCTCTGGGGTGAGGCTTAGGCTTGGCCACCACGGAGTTTCTTGGCTGTCCCTGCAGACACGTGGCTCATTCATTGCAGCTTTGTAAGAGAAACCACGGCAAGCAAGCCCCTGCAACTCACTGCTCAGGACTGTGTCCTGCTTCTGCCTCTGCCTTCCCCACCTGCTGCTCTGCACTCACCCGCTCTGAACTCAGTTCCCTTTTCAAGAAGCCACTATTGTTTCCCTCTCTTTTCTGTGTCTTTTCAGGGTGTTCTAGTTGTGTGTGTGTGTGTGTGTGTGTGTGTGAGAGAGAGAGAGAGAGAGAGAGAGAGAGAGAGAGAAAGAGCGAGAGAGACAGAGACAGAGACAGAGAGACAGAGAGAGACAGAGAGACAGAGAAACAGAGAGAGGAGTGGAGGGAGAGAGAGAAAGAGGAAGGGAAATATCCTAAAACTGGGCTCTCTGGCTCGAAGGATTCTGGGTAGTGTGTGCATATGTGATTCCCCTCCACAGGACTGTTAGCACACTCCACACGCTGTATCCTGTGCTGTCCTTGAGTTTGCCAGGCAGTGTACCTGGAGGTCCCCATCAGCACTTACAGATCTGCCACCTCCTCCTGCACAGACACTCCTCGCGTGGCAGCTTTGACCGGATCCTGCCAGATGCTCAATTCTCTTTTTAACTTGGCTTTCTGAGTCTACTTTAGAATTCCCATACGCGTATATGATCCATCTTTGTTGTTCTCCCTACTTCCTTTAGCTCCTTCAGGCCCCCCACCCCCCCCCCCTCCCTCCCTCCCTCCCTCCCTCCCTCCCTCCTTCCCTCCATGTTCTCTTTTCTTTCTTTAACCCACTGAGTCCAAGTAGCGCTCATATGCTCATGGGTGTGGGGCTGCCCTCTGGAGCATGATTGACTTACCAGCATTAACCTCCCTCCAAAGTGGCTCTCTCTCTTCCCCGGGATTCAGCAACTGCCCCAACTAAAGGCTGGGTCTTGTTACTCCCTGCATCTGTGCTGCAATACTTAAGATGTGTTATTTTTAAGTGTGTGTGTGTGTGTGTGTGTGTGTGTGTGTGTGCACAGGTGTCTGCAGAGGCCAGAGGCATTAGATTCCCCTGCAGCTGGAGTTGCAGCAGCTGCAAACACCATAACAAGGGCTCTCCCACTCCCACTCAGATCTTCTGGGAGAACATGGAGCAGAGCTCTCTAAACTGCTGTGCCATCCCGTCAGCCCACCGCCAACCCTGCAAACAGCCACAGCCATTGTGAGTGCTCCTGTGTGACAGCCTGGTCAAGCCCAGCCCCACCCCCCCACCCTCCCCCCC